ATAATAATAATAATAATAATAATAATAATAATAATAATAATAATAATCTGAGAAAATGTTTTCAAATTGCTGTTATAAACAACAAAAGGTCTTAGGGGCACAGAAAAAAAAAACATTAAGCACTAAACTCAGCAGTTTTCTAAACTGTTCGTCTGACTTGATGAGCTGCCAGTTGCACACATTTCTGTCTGCCTCGCCACAGAGATGAAAATCACATTGGATCCAGTTTGATAACGGAACTGGGTTATGATTTGAGATCTGTTCCTCGCACCACAGCAGGGAGAACACAACTCTCTCTCTTTCCCTCTGCCAGCTTTTAGTCTATGTGTTGCCAACAGCTCTCGTGTTGCGAATTAATTTTTGGGGGGAGTTAATCGTGTTGTTTACGGTCATTAAGAAAGAGCAGTCAGCTTAAATAAACTGTCAACTTAAATAAGAGGAGCTCAGAAGGATTGGACGATGGAGGGGGGGGGGTCTGTTTGGAAAAAAGTTCATGAAATTATAGCTGTAAAACTACTCTGAATCGTTTCAGCTTCTAACGATTGTTAAATTGAACAAAGCTATGGAAGGTGGCTTAAATAAGCTTCTCACTACGATAATTTGAGTTTATAGCCTGTATATTTGCATTATCTTCAGTTTTCTTCATTATTTTTGAGTGTAACAATACAACATGTATTAAATGCGTTTTTTCTTTCATTTCCTCTTCTAATGAAGGTTCAGCTTGATGCAACCCCTCACAGCAGCTATCAGACCAACATCACACAACTCTACATTTGTTTCTGTTTATTAAAAAATATTGAAAGTCAGAAGAAAACATTGTAACTACAGGAAGTGTCTGAAGACAGAACAGAACACCCTTGTCTGGGCTAAAAGAAGAAATCCAAAAATATGTTTCTTCTACAAACTGGTAGCTGTTAGGAGGTTGTATGATTCAAAGCTGAAAAAAAAATCTTATCTGGCTAACAATTAAAGTTTATTTGCGAAGAATTAACGATACCAACAAAACCCAGCAATTTTTTCATCCAATCAGGTGTTGCCATTTATATATGACTTTTAGTGAATAAATTATATTTTGACTATACATTTTGTTACAGTCTAACCAAAAAACATGTGCCGTTCATTATAAAATTGTTCTGCATTTTATATTTTGTGTTGAGAATGAGATAATGCTATTTTTTTAGGGTTTGCTCAACACAACTAAAACTGTTATTTTTCAACATAAAATCTTCATCTGAAACTCTGGCATGAAAGGTTGATATGCATCCCTTCCTATTAAAATCTGCTGCCATCCCTTTAACTGCAGACTGATTTGCATATTTAGACCGGCGCCTGGTGTTTTCGCAGAAATCTAAATAAGATAATGCCACAACTTCATCACAATTTAGGATTTATATAATTTTATCCATCCATCCTGGTGCAAACCAAACCTCTCCTTCCTCAGCCTTTTTAAGCAAAAGACCAATAACCAAACACAGCCTGAGAGTTCATCCAACTTTATTGACTTATGCGAGGATCACGGGACAGCTAGCCATGCTAAGAACTAGCCTTGCTGTGTGCAATTAGGTGAAATGGGTAATACTCATCCTGAGCCAATCCTGGTTCTAGTCAGTGAGAATAATATTGTGTTGCATGGTGTGAATACACAAGACAGGCGCGTTTAAAAGCACTGCATGATATGGACACGTGGAGCTACACTGGAAATAAGCCAACAAGGTGAGTGACTAGAACTGTTGTGCATAGTCTCTGGAAAGATTTGTGCTGACATGGCGAGGTGGTAACTGAGCAAAGATTTGCATACATACTACGTACAATTAGGATAATAAATGGTAATCTCCTGCAAGTTAGAATAGTTTAAATAATGCCCTCCTTTGGCTCTTGCAAAGCAGCAAACCTCTTGGTCAGAGTGAGACAAATTAAATAAGACTATGTACAAACAGTCATATTTCTATTTACAATTATTACCACAACCAAAGCAGCTTTGTCACCGCCTTTTTATGTATAACAGAGCATTAAATTAAAGAGATTGAGGTAATTGAGTCCATTATTATCATTTCCACCAAAATATCAGTCATAAAATTAGTTGATGTTACCGTTTTCGAGTAACCGATAAGTTGACAGTATTCGACGTTTTAGTTGTGTTCTGTTCTTCTTTCCCCTGCTGGTAAAACACAGAGCGTATGATAATATACCAGGACGTTACAAACAGATAAAGGATGAATATAGTAGGATAACAGGAGGCAGATTCTAATGGGTAATTAAAGAGCTACGTGGACAAGAGTGAATGTGTGTGAGAGAGGAGAGAGTGCGATTGAAGGGCGAACTCAGAACTCCCCAACGTGCATGCAAAGAATTGTCACATTCTAATTATCGGAGAACAGTTTGGGTTAAAAAAATGTATGAGTTTTCGACTTATATTTGACTTATATAACAGAGGTGACTTGCACTTTTACATAATGTAATACCTGAATTATTTCATAGTCAGTATGTGCAGAATGAACAGGAATTAGAGCAACAAACCTGCATGTTGTGACTATCCATACAGAATAAACAAGACCGGGTTTTTTACACTTGGCTCAATCCTCTTACCTGTTCAAGCAAAATGTGTTAGCTTAAGCAACTACAGCCAACAGCTTGCGTGCTTTTTTAATGTGATTTATCTCTACACACAATGAAGACAGTTTGGTTTGAACAGTCTTTGAGCTTTGCCTTGACATCATCGCAAAGTGGTTCTCGTCCATGAGCAGCTGATCGGTGGAAATGGCTTCTGAGGTAGCCAGAGTTCCTTCTCGGTTTTAATTGCTACATATCTCTTGTGAGTGTTCTCCAGACCTCACAAAAAGAAGCTGTGCTACAGGGAGAGCACCTCTAAAGAAACTCCTTCAAGTAGTAACTTTTATCTTTTGCAGCCAAAAGCAAAACAGTGCGTCATCTTCCAACTCGAGCTGCTCATTCACAGCCTTTTTTTTTTTTGGAGTAGAGATGGTTGCTCATCAGTGAGGTGCTGGCTGAACTCTCCTGAGTGTTCCTCCGTCACGTAGTTCAACTGTGGGTCAAGGAGAGGCACGCTGCCATCATACTTCCAGAAGACACTTCAGAGGGACCAGGCCTCTCTTCTTGCCGCTGCTCAGCCGAAGGAAGCCGTCAGTCTCCTCGTTTTTCCCCACGCAGATCTGCAGAGGGGGAGTGAAAGGGTGAGGAAAGGGAGTGACTTTCAGTAAATGTGAGAGAGATTTGGGCTGAAATCTGTCACATGATGTCCTCTGCGACAATTTCTGAAATAATTTGCATATAATTAAAAAAAAAATCTGCCTCAGTGTGTATACACGAGATAAAAAAAGGGTGCATTTTATAATGATCACCTGATTCTCTTTCACAGTCATCTGACTTTTTTCTCGGTTGCCGTGGAAACCTGCGGTGACCTTCCACACCCGCTCACCGGGGCGAACCCGCTGCACAAAGTTGGCTGGGAAATATCCCACCTTGTCTCTGATTTTTCCCTGGTAAACACACACACACACATGCACAAATAAATACCAGTCGACACAGATATTTTCAGTCAGTTCTGATCGTCGTGAACAGAATCTTAAAACTAATTCAGCATTTGCAGTAAGAGAAGCAGGTTTGAGTTCCTGTTGCCTGGAACATCCTTTACATTTAACCCCCTTATGTGGTTTGGAGCATTTAAAATTCAACCTGAACGTCTTTAGGGCACAAATATTTAAAGTGTCGTTGCTGTGCCAATATCTCACAGTAGATCTCACTGGTGTGTCCGTTACGTAGGAGTGTCCGTTTCAGCAGGTAACGTTTAAAATATTCATCTTCTTCATTACAAACTGAATCCTCTGTCCTCCTCTTCCTCTTTATGCCAACCTGCTCTACACTTCTTCAAGCAGCAACTCTTCGTTCGGATTCTGCTGTCCGACAGCCAAACAATATACGTTTCTGTAAGGGCCTATTCAAAGGCAATCAAGATATTTATAGTGATTTTATTCATAAAAGCTCTGCCTTAGTAGAAAGACAAAATAAATAAGGCTTTTGAATTATTTAGTGGATAAAATGTGTGCAATGCATTGAGAGGCTACCTTCCACCAGTCTTCATTGGAATCATCTATGACTTGAATTCTGTCAGCAGGCCTGCAGACACAAAGATTATTAAAGGAAAGTCATGATTTGGTTATTTATCAGCTCCAGCTGCATACAGAGACACACTGACGACTGTTTGTGCTACATATGAAAGAGTACGTCAGTACAAGGTCTGAGCTACATGATGCTGCACGATAAGTGTCAGAGAAATCATTTTTGTACTGAACCGCCACATTAGTTGTGGTTGTTGCACCACGCTCAGCAGCTAGTTGTACCTGCTGACATACGAAAACGATTTTTCTGACACGCACTCAGTGCAGCTGTTTGTCCTTCCCATCCTCCCAGCATGATCCCCACCCGCCTTCCAGTTTGAACCCCACCAATGATAATCCTGCTGGGGTGACAGATGGTGTAAGAATGTCCTTTCTCACCTGGCTCCTCTAATTCACACAATAAAAGAGAAGTTTGACTAACTGTAGCTCCAAGTCGTTCTTCTCCTGAGGCAGAAACTTGTAGAGGGCGACATAGGTGTGAATGGAGTGAACCTCTACTCGCTTGGGAGTCTAGGGAAAAAAATTGGGAAAAATTTACTAAACTTGAGAAAAACTAAACTATGAAGGATTGAGAGAGGATGTTTAGTCCTATAACAAGCTGAAATGCTGACTACGCACCTTCAGGCTGACTCTGTCTTCTGAATCGGCCTTCTCGCTTTCAGGAGGGGTGAGCACTGCAGAGACAGACACATAAACACAAATACACAAGATAAGAGCAAAGACATGCAAGAAACGAACAAAGATCACACATGAGAAAGAGAAAGACCACAGAGTGAAGGAGAAAAGAAAAAGATTTTAACAAAGAGCTCAAATCACTGTGTTTAATAGAAGCAAGCCAGAAGTGAAGGTCGTTTACAGTAAAGTGGTGGCAGAGCAAACAAAGACGATCCTTTCTCCAGGGACTAAAGCGCAGAGGGAAAAATACTGCACACACACGTGCATACACGCACACAACTTTAACAGAAGCTACTCGGACTGATAAGGACACAACAAGCATATGTTAATGGATAAAACAGCTAAAACCAGAGAAATGGCATTTTCTGTAAACATGCAAATCTGAAATCCGAACAACAGCTGAAATTCATTAAAGCCAAAACCAATGTTTAAAAGTTAACTACATCAAGATCTAAAAAAGCAAATTAGTAACTAAAAGCTATAAAATTGCAGACCAATAGCTAAAAGCTAAATTTGTTAAACATTAGCTAACATCTAAAATTAGCAGAACAGTAGCTAAAAGCGACAATTTCTCAGAACAATAGCCAAAACCTTGAAAGAACAAAACAGTAGCTAAAATATTAACTAGCAGAACAGGAGCTTAAAGCTTAATTGTAGCTATAAGTTAAAGCTAGCAGATCAGTAGCTAAACAATAAATGGTAAATGGACTGTACTTATATAGCTCCTTTCTATTTTATCAAGATACTCAAAGTTCTTTACAATCTGTGTCCTCATTTATCCATTCAAACAGCACTCTACTAGATCAATACAAAGATTAATCAGTGCTTTAGATCACATTCATACACTGATGGGACACGCATCGGAGACAATGATGGGTTCAGTGTCTTGCCCAAGGACACTTCAGCATGTGACTGCTGGTGGAATCGAACCCCCAACACTTGCATTGGAGGATGACTGCTCAGCCACAGCCGCCCCTGATGAGCAAAACCGTGGCTAAAAGCTAAAACACGCATAATAGTAAATAAACACTGATCAGCAAAACAGTAGTTAAAAGCCAAAGTTAGGGAAATAGTAGCTAAATGCTAACATGAGTAAAATGGTACCTAGAACCAGATCAAGTTTGTAAAATATAAATGAGCAGAACAGTGGCTAAAAGCAAAAACAAGCAGAACAGTGTCTAAACACTAAGATTATCAAAACAGTAGCTAAAAGCTAAAATAAGAAAACATGGTTAAAAGCTAAAATCAGGAAAATAGTAGCTAAAAGCTACTATACCACGTGGGACTATTTGTTTAGCATTGTCACAATGATGTCACACTGGAGCTACCCATGAGTGAGCATAACATTGATTTGCATTTTCATTTACTAAATGTAAATACATCTTCTCGTTAGCTGACAACATTAAAACATTAAAACAAACTGTATCCGTTTTAATATTATTCTGTAAGTCTGTCACAGAAATATATATTTTTTTAATGATAAAAAAAAATGTATTTACTTCCTGGAATCTGTTCCTCTTCTGTGATAGGCTGGTTTTCTAACTTGTCTTGCAGTTTTTCTGCCTTGAATAAAAATGGCAAAGTCAATGAGATTTCTTATGTCAGCTTGAATTAATATGCATGGCTGGGGTTGGCAGTGTATTCTACACCTCATGACAGGGGGATTCGGAGATACTTCCGAAGCTGGAGCGACTCATCTGAGCCAGTGACGTCCCGTAGCGCAGCGCCTCGTACACGGGGTCAACAATGACACTTTCTGTCTCTGCAGACGAACAAAATCATTGAAAATGTGTCATTTTAAAGCTGAAGTAAAGTAGGGGCGTCATGACCCGAGAGTTTCAGATGCACAAACCCTGAGCTGCAGGAACTTCCCTCACTGCACCCAGCGGATCAATGGTCAGCATAGGAGAGCTGAAGTTCTTCTTAAAAGCTCCTGCCTGACATATCGGATGAGACACAGGAAGAAAATGTGAGTTACTTGAGATGGCAAAAAGACAAAAGTAGTTACCGTACGAGTAACACAATACCTCTGTGGCTGTGTTCAGGAACAGTGGGTCTACATGAAACCTGGATGATTAAAAACGTTTCAAGATCCAAGAGAGCAAAAGGCACTGTACGTGCAGAGAGAAGTTCCTATAGTATTTAAATTTAAATTGAATTATCATGCTGCTTTGAACACTTTGGTCTTAAGGATTAAGAATTCGTCAGATTAACTAATTATTATGCTTCAATGAAGTTGTTTAATTAATTTGTTCAGAACCACTTTGCATCAGTTCAGTCTGTTTCATGGGCATGTCTTTCACAATAAAAGCTTAGAAAAAAAAGAGCATTTATTTTAATTTTAACAAAACTGCAAAAGTCACAAATATTTGATAAATCCTTGAAGCAGTGACTTCGTGTCTATATGCTTGTAATTTTACATGTAGGCTGATTTTTAGACATCTCGTCTAATATTTTGGCAATTTTCTCTGAATTAAAATACAGTGGGAGAAATACAAAGCAAGTCAAATAATAATTAAAATTAAAAAAAAGAATAAAAAGACAGTTTATTATAAAATTTTACACCTAATAATGAGAGAATGTACTAGCGAGAGACTGTGCTGTGCTACGACCTTCCCTCAAACTCAATGCCTCCACTGGCATATGTATAATATACTGCCTGGCAAAAAAAAAAATGTCACCAAAAAAATGTCACACTAATATTTCGTTGGACCGTCTTTAGCTTTGATTACATCATGCATTCACTGTGTCACTGTTTCAATAAGCTTCTGCGATGTCACAAGATCCGTTTCCATCCAGTGTTGCATTCATTTTTCACCCAGATCTTGCAGTGATGACTAGGCACTAGGCATGATGGGTGCATCACTTCACCACCCTCTCTTTTTTACCCTGATGCGCCCATCACTCTGGAACAGGGTAAATCTGGACTCAGACCACATGACCTTCTTCCATTGCTCCAGAGTCCAATCTTTATGCTCCCTAGAAAATTGAAGCATTTTTTTCCAGTTAGCCTCACTGATTAGTGGTTTTCTTAAGGTTATACAGCTGTTCAGTCCCAATCCCTTGAGTTCCCTTCACATTTTGTGTGGAAATGCTCTTACTTTCATTATTAAACATAGCCCTGAGTGCTACTGTTGCTTTTCTTCTAATTAATTTCAACAAACATTTAAGTGATCACCGATCACGATCATTCAGGATTTTTTCTGCCACATTTCTTCCTTGAAGACGATGGGTCCCCACTATCCTTCCAGTTTTTAATAATGTGCTGGACAGTTCTTAACCCAATTTTAGTAGTTTCTACAATCTCCTTAGATGTTTTCTTTGCTTGATGCCAGTGATTTGACCCTTCTCAAACAGACTGACATCTTTTCCACGACCACGCCATGTGTCTTTCAACATGGTTGTTTAAGAAAAGAGAAGCAACTCATTGCACCAGTTGGGCTTAAATAACTTGTTGCCAGCTGAAAGATAATCGCCCATGCAGGAATTATCCATTGGAGGCTCGTACTTATTTGCTTAGTTAAATCCAGGTGGCAACTTTTTTTTTTTGGGGGGGGGGGGGGGGGGGGGGGCAGGCAGTGTATGTCTTATGTCTATTTATGTTGCTTTTTGTGCCGAGGTTGTTTCTGATCTCCCATTTCCTCATGTTGTCACTTATCTAAAAAGGTGGCACCGCTCAAGTGGCTGCAGCCTAGTATCCCCATGTATGTCTTTCTTTTGTTAATGCACTTTACTACCAGTTCCTGTTTTAAATGTACTATACAAATAAATTTGACTTGACTTGACTTAACTAATAAGACTGGACCTATAGAAAACCTACAATATTTCCAGCTAAATCACCCAAAAAAAATATCAGGTCAGTAAACATAGACGTTATTACACTATTAATGTACTGGATCATATTTGTTATAGACCCACACCTGCTCCAATTTCTTTCTTCCTGGCAACAAAAGATGATAATAGCTGTTGACAATTTTCCTTCAGAGCTCTTTGGTTTAAGGGCCATAGGAGGAAGAAAAACACTTGAGATGAGTGAGAAAGCTCCTGTGTTATTTTAACCTTTTGAAGCCAAACATTAACCTGGCAACAACAAGTCCACCTCTAATCACCTGATATATCCAAGCCAACAGTTTAAGAGCCTAAATAAATCCCTATGAAGTCCACCATGGCATAAAAAAGTTATATGACCCAATTTAATCTATTACTGAATTAATGCACTTATTCTGTGTTGCAGTTTTTCCACTGGTTTTAACGATTTACCAGGGAAAATGTTTCTAAATACAGACTTACGGTTAATAAAGCAGAATTGACTTGTTTTTATGTTTGTCTTCAAAAACACTTATCCACATTGAGCCACGATGAAGATCAACCAGTGCAGAAATGGTTCAGTATGGCTTTGATATCTTTTTTTAGCAAGACAAAAATGTTGAGCTACAGTGCACGATTTAGAGACAAAAGAGCTGTTTTTAAGGCTGTCATGAATGTGCTATATTCTGCAAATAAAGTTTCCAATAATAGTAACTCAGCTTTATTTATCCAGTGTCGTCTCCTCTTGTCAGTTAAGACATAAAAGATGTTATATAAATAAAGATAAGTGGCACATGCTGAAAAACAAAATGTTGCTTTTTAAAATACTGAAACACACTTTAATGAGAAACCAAGTCTGTTGGACCTTTATATTTCCAGTCTTGAGGACATGAAATTTATTCTCTGCAGTTCGAGATGCTCATTTTCAAACTGAGTCAGTCTCAAAATAAAAACATTACAAGTAAATGGACTGTACTTATATAACACATTTCTATGAAGTTACTCAAAGTGCTTTACACTACAATCTGTTCCCCCATTTTCCCATTCATACAACACTTAACTACACAAAGAATAATCAGAGCTTTATCACATTCATACACCAATGGGACACACATCGGAGGCAATGAGGGTTCAGTGTCTTACCCAAGGACACTTCGGCTTGTGACTGCTGGTGGAATCGAACCCCCAACTCTTGCATTTGAGAACAACTGCTCTAACCACTTGGCCACAGCTGCCCCATAAAGGAAAAATAAAAAAGTTCTGGATTGTCAAGGACATGCTGTTTTGTTCAGAATGGCCTCAATTGCATCTTTTGGGTCCCATTTTCTGCCCATGCAAATGTTATAAATGAGGCTCTTGATACTTGTTTTTCTGAATAATGCATTCATCGTCCTTGTTTTAATGTTTTTGTCACAAAGTGCTGCACTGGAATCACCATTTCCAAACCCATTTAAAAATTAATTGAACAAACTCAGTCCTGAGGTGAAACAGATCATTCCTCACAGGTTTTCTTCAAACATCATGTATGAACATATTAAGCAGGCTGACTGGAGTTCTAAAACTATATTACAACAAAAGCTCACACAGAGCAAGGATGAATGTGTATGTGTGTGTGAACCTTTGCAGCACTGGTAATTACTTTGTGCACTGCTCAGCAGGCCCTGTTCTCATAAAATAATACATCTTTAGGTTAAATTAGCATTGATTACAAATAGTTGTCAGGAGTCCAAAGTCATTTAAACCTTGATTCTGGAGATTTTTTTTTTTGTAATTGGTTATATACAGTATATACTTAGTTTATATTAGTGCACTCAGAAAATTGGTGCAGAAACAAGCCAAGGGAAGGGAGGCCATTAATATTTTTAATGCTTTTAGTTATATCCAGTTTAAAAAGATTTGCCGTCTTAAGTTTTGATAATTCTTTTGCGTTTTCTTATTTTCTTGACTGGTGGTGGAAAAAAGTGCAAATGCTCGGGCACTAAATAAAATATATTAATTACAGCATAAAAACATGCAAAATGATGCTATATTAACCCATACAAGGTCTTGTGATTTTTTAACTTAAACATTAAAAGCATATTAACAAATGGGACATTTGTATGTCATTTCCCTGTAATATGAACCAGTTTCTTCAATTGTGAACACATGGTGTTGCATTTGAATACCTTGTTATGCAAGGAAAGTTATTGCCAACTCCAAGACTACGAAGTGCTTGAATCCTGTGGCTGTAAAACAAGCCCAAATCATCAATCCTCCACCACCATGCTTAACAGTTTGTGTGAAGTCTTTGTTCTAACGTATTGTGTTTGATTTTTTTTATTAAAAAAAATAGTGCTGTGCATTATGCACACGGACCTCAACTTTGATCTTTTTTGTCTAAAGTACATTTGAAGAAACCTCATGGTTTATTCAACGTAGCTTTGAATATAAAAGCTATGCTTCCGTGTTTATTAATGAAAAAAAAAAGGTGTTTCTCTGGGTTATACTTTTAGAGAAGCCATACATTTTAAAAGTAATGCCATGAACTTCATTATTTTAAACATCTTGACTTGATTTAGCCATTTTTTATGACAATGTCTGATTTTATAATGAAAAGTCTGCAATTGTCTTAAATGTTTTCTCCTGTAAATATTCTAGAATGATAAGACTCCACAGTTTGGAAACTAAATTCTTCTTAGCACAAGCAGCACAAACTGTTTTGTTAAGATTGTTGCTCAGTGTGTTAACACAAAACGGAACGCTTCAAAGCTGCACACTGCCTAAACCTTTGCTGTCTCACCTGCTGATGATCAGGTAATCAATGCATTTAATTGGCATCTACTTTACTTTTATGGACCGTTTATACAAACGTCTTCATTTTTACTTTGCTTTTGATACATTAAAACTTACAATGAAAATGCTCTTGTGTTGTTAATAATAATAAATTATTTTAACTAATTTTAGGATCAAAGGGCAATATATATATATATATATATATATATATATATATATATATATATATATATAGGCTTAAAAATAGATTTTAGTTATAGATAATGGGTATTACAAATGGTGGTTATGAGGTTTCTTTAAGAAATTAATGTTTGAGCTCTTTGATCAAACAAAAAACATATTTTATATAACATTTAACTTAATCTGTGTATTCTGTGTTTTTACGTTTGACTTTTGGTACTTTTAATTAATCTTCAGTACTATCATTAATTTATTTTATTTTTTCCATTAAATTACTTCCATTGATATTTTATGTTAAGCACTTTGGTAACAGCTGCCGTTTTAAATGTGCTTTATAAATAAAGTTGACTTGACTTAATCTTTGCAAAATACACTAATCTTTATATTTATTTCATAAGAACAGCAGGATAAATTAATAAAGATGTGAACAAGGTCTTTACAATAAACATATTGTTGCAACAATTAGGACAACACTGCTGCACAGGTGGTTTCAATCACTTAAAAGACTTGAGTTGAATTTTGCAAGTTTTAATGTTTTAAAACGATATGTAAGCACAGATAAGTATTCCATTCTTCATTAGATTTGTTATCAGCAGTGTAACAAACTTCCTGGTGACATTTAAAAACGTAGAGGTAGAGCACTTTTTAAAACTGCCTAAAATTATTGAAAAAACGTAAAAGGAAGATGGTTTCAAAAGTTATAGATGAACCTAAAACTACAGAGTCCAAGCATTTTAGTCACCTTCTATTGTTTTGTATTGATGATTACATATAATAAACAGTGTTTGAACTCATAAATTTAAGATTAGTTACTCTAAGTAAGCGGGTTCCTCCAGGACTCTGCTTCTGATGTGCAGCCTTCGATAGCTTCCTGCAGCAAAAAGCCTCTGTCTCGCCTCAAGTTGTCCCGAGTGCAGTTGGCATTTCTATTCTAAAGATCAACCATTCCAAACATTTCAACAATCTGTTTCTGTATTTCACACAGAACCTGACAAATTACTTCAATTACAATCAAAATAAAATTTCAAATGAATCTATTTCTGCTTTAGCCGAGATGTGCTGGTTAAATTCCTTGCAGTTTCAGTAAAATGCCTAATCCATGGCTTGATGAGAGCGCAGTGATGGAAAAGGACACTGCCGATGACTTGGCTAGAGCCTGACGAGTCACATCCTTGAGGGATTGTGTTCGCCTCAAACACAGTGAATTTCACACTGAATTAGGCAGACCAGCTGGTACAGACAGATATTGATTTTCTTACTGAATTTCGAGGGGAGGAAGGAAATGTAGCACCCAGACAAGAAAGAGGACGAGACAAGGGCATCGCGTGAGAGGAGATGGAGAAAGGGCAACGAAAAAAAGATGAAATAAATGAACATTATCAACCTTAGCATTTTCCTTCTGTTATAACATTTACGATAAGGAGATCATTTTAGACTTCCAGTTTTAATGATATAGCATTCCAGTTTTACTCCTCCTTTTTGTGTTTTCTGGTTTAACAAGGGTTTCATCATTTTTCAGCATGCCAGAGGTTTCCAGAATAGACACATTATCAGGACTCAATGCTCTGCCAAATAACTCAAAGACACTCACAGCCTGCAGATACCATACCATTCTGCTGACACTGCACATTCTGAATTAGATTCATTCCTCAGAGGAACATTCACACTCCCAGTACAGCTTAGAAACAATTACCGTACACTGTAATGAATTATGTGGCCTTTTTATGTTAAGCCAAACGGCTGAGAAATACCAGCAACATCTGGAGCACACTGAATATTATTAATGAGTACAAAAACAACCTGACCAGTTCAATGCTTTATACTCATAAGCTACTGTATCTATAATAAAGCAACATTGTTCATTTTCACAGCAAAAAATAAAATGTAAATTTGACCACTTTTACACAGGCTAAGCCTAGTAAGCTAAGGAATAGGGCATATAAAAAAACTGAATGCAACAGAATAAAGTTAAAATCTAATAATCAAATTCAGTTACTTTTCAAAACTTGAGACAGTGTCTCACTTGATGAAGTCTTGGGCCTGTATCTCACAGGGCTGCGACTTTTGGTGACAAACTGGACACAAGAAGATGTTTCCAAAATGTCCTGAAGTGTGTGAGTCAGAGTCTCACTCTCGTGTTGGTGGAACTTTGAAAAGTGTTTGAAAAATATGCAAGACAATATTTCTAAAAGTAGTCAAGAGTCGTGTGTGTGTGTTTGAGTATCTTGTTTGGAACTCTCCCCAAATTACCATAATTTCCAGACTATAAGCCGCTACTCCCCCACACACACACTTTGAACCCCACAACTTATACAACGCTGCAGCTAATTTAAGGATTTATTTTTTATTTTTTTGGACAGGCTAACGAGTTTCATGCCACCAAAACATTTAGCCTCGTCACACTCAGGCGCTCGCATAGCTGCCCAATACATGTCTCTCTTGGGGGGTGGGTCCTTGTGACTTAAGACTACCTGTATAAATAAATGTTCCCATTGTGCCACGGGACACAACCAAGAACTAGAAATAACTGTGCATCGTAAATCAAATGAAATTGCGAATTTGCCTCGAGATGAAAGTAGCGTTCAGAACGACAACGAAAGAGACTGAGGATGTGTGTGATGATGTAATTATGAGGCTGTTCACTTCTGACACTGAAGACGACTTTAGTCATTTTAGTGCACAGGAGGAAGATGAAGATAGTGTTCAATGATTTTTCCTGGTAGGCTACTGTATTTTAATTTATTTTTTAACCAGCCGTGTTACAGGCACTGTTCAGTAAAAAAAAAAACATTTACTGTACGCATTTGTGTATACAAAGTATTTAATTAAAAGTTTTTAAAAAATCTTTCTGTGTAAATATATCACGTTACAATGTGGACACACGTGGTTTATAAACAAGAGTGGCCTATATATGCACAATGATTTTTTATTTTTAAATTTAGTGAGCGCGGCTTATATTCAGGTGCACTCAATAGTCTGGAAATTATGGTCGTTTTTGTAAGTAAGAAAGTAAAAGAAATGTGAGACAACCCTAAGAAAAGTTGGTGACCTATACAGCTAAATTGTGGTGACTGGAGGAAAAAAAAAAAAAAAGAGAGAATCAGAGATTTCTGGGCATCTTATGAGCACAACAAAATAAAATAAAAAGAGAATGGATAGCAAACACATTGAGACACAAGACACTTTGGGAGTAAACTGAAACAAAATAATTTGCACAATATTTACAAGCTCCTCCCAGTAAATCTGGGTCTAAATATCATGTGTCATATAGGAATGAGTGATATATACCGTACACGGTAGAAACAATAGACATTTAGCCTATGATAGAAATCTGTCTTCTACAGGCTAACCGCAGTAATGCTGTGTCTGATGTAAAATCAGTTGTCAGATTTAATCGTTACTTTATTGAATTGAAAACTGTGCGCAACAGGTACAAGCTAACTATGGCCGGCTTGCCGTAGTATCGCCATATTCGGATGCACGTGCAAAACGCTGTGTTCCGTCAAAAGTTTTTTTTTTTTACCCCCCCGTCTAAAGTTAAAGTAAGTGTTGGTCAACTTTAGAGAAACCTGCTCTCTGATCTGTGAAAAGAACGCTGTGGTGTGTGATTTTACTGCGAGACCCTCTGGTCAAAGCCACAGAGGAAACTGGTCGCCATTTTGTGTCAGCTCTTTTTAAAGTGGAAGGAGAGGCCCACTAGAGGGTTGGAGGGTGAAGTGTTTTCAGTGTAAAATGCTGCTCTGTTGTTCATTTCTTAAGTGAGAATACTGGAAACTGTTGAGTTAACATATTATTTAGTTAGTTAGTAGTAAAATTCTCTTAATTGAAATTATTTTGTGGTATAACACTTTTCAAAATAAACTATGGAAAAAGGACACCCTATACTTTTTTCATTCCTATTGCAAGTTTTATACCAAAAACATATCCTGATATATATCATTATCACCACCCTTCACAATACATATCATGATATGAATTTATGCCATATGGCACATTCCTATGTGTCAAGCACTAATTCAGATAAATTATTTTATGAATTGCATCTTATCTTTAATGACATTCAGTTTTTCACACTAAAGAATTAAGAAAAGAGAATAAAACAGTAATTTAAATGCATTAAAGCCAAACTGTTGATAATTGAAAAAATGCTTCATGTTCAATCATTGAACTTTCAATGATTTTGAGTGTCTTCAAAATTGAATATCGTATTTGTGCCAAATTCTTTCAGTAAAACTTTGCGCTGATACTTATTTCACATGGGTCGTGTGACTGAAACTGGAGTCAGTCTCCTACCTTCCCATTACAGGCCTGCTGGGAGAGCTCAGAAGAGCACCAGAGGTGGGCTGCCAGTTTGCAGGATTTACAACGTAGACCCTGTTTGGAGTTCCCTACATGGACACAAAAAACAGACAAGATATTTAGGCCAAAAGAAACGGGTTAGAGGTTGGTTTGATACAAAGTAATGACAAAGACAGCAGAAATAAATATTGCTGACTGCTTTTTATGAACCAGTTAATAAAAATATTTATTTCTTCCAATGGGGGAAGGGTGTGGTTAATGTCTGGCCTACCTTGGATCATGAGTTTGCATCGATGGCAGCTCGCAGACCTACGGAAGACATGTTCCTGAAAACAGTGGGTCTTGACTGGCTGGGTCTGACACTTTGGTTGGGTTTTAAAGGTCCTGGACAGTGAAGGACTGATGGATGGGGAGTGTGACAAAAACGAAGGGTTGGAAGTTACAGATGGAGATATGGAGGGAGAGCCCTCATAGCTCAAGGGGCATTCAGAGAAGGGAGGAGGAGAAGGTAGAGGTGGCGGTGCAGTGATAAGGGCTGAGGCTGGTGGAGTTTCACCATTGCTGCGCTGGAAAAAGTTGTCCACACTCTTGCTGCGTATGACTGATTTGAGGGACAAGGAGCGTTTCAGCCTCTGCAACTAAAAACAGAAGTGAAACTGTTTAGGCTACACTGTATGGGAAAAAAAATTAGAATCACAAACTTCCTGAAGGGTTGCTTTGGAGCGCACAATAATCAGCTGGGCGAACTGCACCCTCAACATAAAAGAGCCATGACTTAATCAGAGAATCCAAAACCATTCAACATAAATGGTGTAAAAATTGAATAATCTATACTGATACAAAAAGTCAAAGGATAAAAAAATAATAATAAAAAAACCACATAGCTTCCTTTCTGAGAACCATTGCTGGATCAGATAATCCTCTCAATCTTTATTGCTTGCCCCCTGTAAGGGCACAGGCAGATGACAGTGTTTTATCGTGGATGTTTGTGCAATTGTCTGCTGCCAGAAAAGCTCACGAACCATTGGACAAATTAACAAAACTTGCAGTATCTACTGCGGATTAGCTTTTAAAGACAACACCATTCAAGATGGCTGCCACAACCAACTGACCTTAAAGTTGGGTGTGGTAATAGCTTAGACTGATCGATACATTCTGTGTAACAGATTATGGACGATCCATATATCCATTCTGCTTTTCCGGATCTCAATCTCCAGCAGTTACTGTGCGAGAGGCGGTTTACACAATCCGTCACAGGACCACACAGAGACAAATGACCATCCGTGCTCTCATTTACACCTAGAGACAACTTAGTTACAAATTAACCTAACCTGCACATTTTTGGTCTGTGGAAGGAATTGTAAACCCAGAAAAAAAAAATGCACAGGGAGAACAGCAGTTTGGTTGGCCTTGTCGCTGTTTCAAGTGCTTTATAAATAAAGTGGTATGGTATGGTTACATGCAAACTCCACCAGAAAGACCTGAGAGCAACCCTAGAAACCTCTTGCTGAGAAGAAACCGCTCTGTCACCTTGGAAATGATCATTAGAAAAGACATCTACAAATGATTAATGTTTAAGTCAATCCAAATCAAGATGACTGCTACAATCATCTGACCTGGGAAAACTAAAAAAATGGATATGATCCAGTCAATTTAACACATATTGAGCTTAAACTTGATGCAGTAGCAAAGTAGAAGTCATTTACAACACATACGATGAGGGACATCATGTGATATTTAATAGAATTGTGCATAATCTTATTTTTAGTTTGCCGAAACAGAAAGTTTCAGCATTTCTCTAGATAAAATGATTTAATTCTAAAAGTCTGGAATGAATGGCAGCAGTAATGTATATTCTTTCAAGGAATGCTAGACCTTTGTTTTTTATTCGTTTATTTATTTCTTCTTTCGGCTGTTCCCTTCTTCAGGGGTCACCACAGCAAACTTACTCGCATGAAGACTTGGCAATTGTTTTACGCAGGACTCCCTTCCTGACACAACCACAAACACTGAGCTACCATAGCCCTCTGTGTGGAGCAAAGAGCTGCCATCTAGGGCAACTGGGGGAGCAGATGGTGGGGGTTAAGGGCCTTGCTCAAGGGCCCAGAGTCAGGCAAATTAGGGTGGAGGCAGGTATGGGTGTTTCACCTTTCCAATCCACATTTTGATGTTTTCAGTCCAGGGAGTTGAACCAGCAACCTTCTGATCACAGGCCCACCTTTTCTAACCTCTGCTTGATGCTAGATCTTTGTATCAGTTGTAAATATGTCAATGCAAGTAATGTTTCCAAATGAAATTTTGTTTTATATTTGCCATTTTGGTGATTAGAGCATAAATCCTTAGTATCGAGTAAAATTTGGTATCATTTTTTAAACCTAAACAATACATATTTTATTTTATTAAAGCAGTATGGATATAGTTTTTTTTTATTTTTTTATAGTAGGAACACTAGAAGTGCATTTTGCCAGGACAGATAAGTGTCGAGCGTGAGACAGTGTGCTGCGTTTAAAAATGTGGGTGTTAAAGAGCCTCTTAGCTGTGTCCTTTGACTGTCCTCACCCTCTCTGGACAACTTCTAATCTTCTGTCTTTAGCTCTCTGCTCGTTTTCCTTAGACTGCAAATTTGCAGCCCCTTGCGAGTCCACACAAGTCAATACCCCTTAAAATTCATGTTGAATTAGTGTTATTGAGCGTTCTGCACCTTTGCACTGGATGCAGTTGGTGATGAACAGCAGTCACTCTGCTCATCTTCTCATCCATTCCCCACATGCTCTTTACCATTGACTCTTGGCCATAATAAAGAGGAGCTGATAACAATTACTGGAGCTTAATGGTCCAATATTTGAAAAAAAAAAAAAAAAAAAAAAGAAAAAAAAAAACTGCAGTGGACTCATACATCTAGGAACTAGCCTGGGGATGGAAAACAAGGATGAAATAGGTTCCTGACACTGGAGCAGCTCTTAATATTATACAAAATTCATTAGTGGTCAGTGTTTTGACTTGAGGACACAACTTTGATAAAACTGAGTCTTATTACAAAGCTTTAAAGACTTTAATGACTTCAGGATTCAAGTTTTGAAAATTTTATGAATAGGTGACACATTTTTTGAGGCATAAAAGACCAGCAACTTAAATAAAACTAAGTAGCCTCTGCTTTGGCTTATATTAATCTGGTGACTTCATCACTATGATGTTAATTGCATTTCTGAGCTTTAAAATCCACCACATTTCCCCATCTGCTTTCACTTCACAGAGAACAATCAATAGCATTGACTGATTGTTTCTGTTCCTTAAGCAACAGATTCAAAGATGCCAATTAAGTTGAGCGATAAAAACAGTCCTCTCTCTTGACCCATTAGTGAGTTCTTCTCATAAATGTTTTCATCGGGGAGCTGAGTTCATGCTTCCCTTAATGGCCTTTTCTTGGCTCAACTGAAGGCCCAATCAGTAATGGATGTTTCTCTCTATTGGGTTTTTAACTTGCCTGACTTTGTTAATCTTCTCTGTAGTGACAGCATGTCTTTGCTTCTGTTCAAAGAGGAAAGGAACAACTTCTTCAAGCACAAACTAGATAAAACTGGTCTGAAAATCAATGGCTAAATATATCTCTCCCCTGAGCTTTTAAAAAGATTAAAGAAACAGAAACTGGGATGTAAAGTTAATTTAACTTAAAGAGAATATTTGAAACAGATTTTTTTTAAACAGCCCTAAATCTAAAGTCTGAAATTCAATATATTCTGAATTTTTGCCAAACTGCTAAACCGGCACAGCATAGATGAAAGCAGTGAATAAAAAATGCACACGTGAGGAAGGTCCAACCTTAATTTTAAGATAATGTTCCCCATTTTCCAAAATCACAACATACTCTCTTTTTAAACCTGCACAACAAGCACTCAGCTGTTAAGTTCAGACAGTTTATTATTACATTACTGTAAATTTCAGCTTTATTTGTAATAGATGTGTGGTTAATGTCTGTGTGAGAAAATAGTGAGACACTTAAGTTCAGGTCATCTTGCAGTGTTCAATCTCTTTCCACTCTGCAGTCAACACAAAAAACAAAAAGAAATAAGCTTGACAAAAACTGGTAACGTTTTGTCAAACTTTACATTTTAACCCATATTCCTATTCAATAGGCCAGATGTTTTTAAAGCTTTACATTTTTTATTTTTTAGCAAGAATCATGTTAAAAAAATAAATCTAAACAGTTCACAAAACTATAAGCTTCTGACTTGAGGAGGAAGCATCAATCATTCTGTAACAACAATTTGACCAAACGCCAGTATTTTTACTAACTCAAGGACTTTACTTGCATCCTCCTCAAATACTCTGAGGACAAACTCTGGCATCCTAATTTTACACTCTTAAGTACAGTACAGTAAACCCATGTTTGTTAAAATAAAAAATTACATTGAAAAAGGTCATGAATTGATGGGTGCACCCAAAGGCATGAAACAGGAAACAACAGACCTTAATAATTTGCTTCCTCTGAAAAAGGAGCCAAGTCAAAGTTTGAGGTAAAGTTATTCCTCAATGGATACAAAACTTGGTGACTTATGGGCTGCATGCCAAGTAACTGGGAAGCCAGGTCAGGTATAGCAGGTAAATAGCCAGGACATGTCAATATCAGAATTTGTTTTTGTAAAAACAAATCTTTTGAATGCTGCTTAATCTTCTAATTTAAATGTGATATAAGTAAATAAACTAATTAATTAATTAAAACAGCAGCGTAAATGAACACTATAACCTTTCCTATTTTTGCATTTTGGTGCAATAGTTGATGTTGGTATTAAAAACTTTCTAGTTTTTGGTATTCTGGTCCGACCTCGCAGCAATGTCAAACCTTGTTTTGCTCTTTAAGCAAAATTGGATCATATCCCTACAGCTAGGTACTAAAATGATATAAAAGTGTTTCTAAAGAGGGGGAGATAACTACAGCAGCATACTGATCAGATATGTGAATTGTGTTTGAATATCCCTGTGCTTTATTTGATACATTTAAGACCCCCAAAAAAGCAATATATCCAACTTAATAATCACATTAAGGTCTCATATTAGTTCGACCTCAATTGTTCTGTCCTCTACCAAAGTTTACAATACGGCTGAAATTATATCTGCAAGTTTATGAGTCAGCACAGCATATACTTACATTTAAAGTTGACAATCACACTAATAGGAAACAAAAACAATAACTGAACGTCAGAATACTTTGTCAGATGATTGACTCAAATGCAGGCTTTGAGGCAAGAGTGCAGGTAACTAGAAATTAAAAAAACTGAAAACCTACAGTAAATGTTGCTACAGCACAAAATAAAACAGAAACAGACAAGAAGCTGTTACTAAACTTGTCAGAAAGTCGATCTAAAAGACACAAGGCTTTGAAAAGCAACAAAAAAAAATGAAGTATTTATACAGCGGATGTATTATGAGTGACACGGGTGGTGTAATTAGCAACCTAGGACCAGATGTGAGGGGAAGAGCAGAAAGCAAAACTGAAACGGAATAATAAAGGAGCAGAATAATGTAACAAAATAAGAAGAATAAACAGAACACGACATGAGAAATCTAGAACCGCAGACAAAATCAAGACCTGAACACAAAAACTGCAGACTATAATGGCACATGATCTTCAAAAATATAG